GCGGGTTAGGTGTCGAGCCGATATACAGCGAGGCATGTCGGACTGTTGATCGCAGAATATACACCGTATATAATGGTGGGATGGGTTTTGATAGAGGGGGCATTTTTTTATATTGACGGACTGCGCGTCTCAGCGATGAGGCCTTGGATTTGAAATGAAATAAGACAGACAGTTGCCGCGAGATTCTGGTTCCATTTCTATTGCATGAGGATCATGCAATAATACTGACTATTAATCTCCTATGCGACTTACTATCAATAATGTCAAGTCGAAAGCGCCGCGGATGGTGTGAAATGTTCATTATTTACATTGAGCAATCGAGACGTCACGGCAACAAACAAATGAAGTAAGCCGATAGTGGGGTCGCATACATAGATCGCACAGATCGCACAGATCACTATCGATAAGATCAGGTTTCATTATCGATTAGATACGATAATGCATGCCAATTCACGAGATCGGGCCTCATTGCAGTTCGCTCCCATCCGCCCACTATACCGGTGATCAAAGTATGTTGGTGGTTCATATTTGGGCTCATTGGGTACGAATGGTGGATACGAATGGTGGGTATGATCATTATCCATGCTATGTATGTAAAGGTATCCATATGATTACAAGAGACCTTGCTTCTGCAGGTCGTAGTAGACCTTCTCCGGCATGACATTGCCATCGGCGTCCTCCATCTGCACGACGCTGCCGTCGTCAACCTTGTCCTTCCTCTTATCCTTCTGTATCTTATCCCATAACCTCAGAGCTTCGTCGATATTCGTAATATCTCGGAATAGACTCGTGTTAGTGACGCCCAGACACTTCAGCCCATAGATGTGTCGTGCCTCGTTGAAATGCTTGTCGAATGCTCTGCGTCCCATATACACAAAGTTGCCACATATCTCGCAGGGGAACTCGACTCCTAGGCCATGGAGCTTGTACAGCCAGAACGGAATAGGCTTGCCATCCCAGGCAAGTGGCAGCTTCAAGGGGTTGTAGATCCTGTCTTCGTCGTCGTTGTCCTCACCCTCTTCGGCCTCTCTGGATTGAGCAGCGGTAGTGGTGGCGCTGAACAGGTTCTCCAATTCCTGCTGTCTCTCACGCTCCGTCATGCCTTGCTTACGCTCGACATTAACTCTAGTATCGCTGCGCTCGGTGCTCATCGCACTTGCAAGACGCTTGACTCGGAATTCTCGCTCTGCGATAGCACGCTCCTTCAACCGGTACGGCGAAGATCCTCCCTTGCTCGCTCCATTGGGCGCGCTTCCTCCTTCGTTAGATCCACTTTGCAGTCTCTTCTCCCGTTCCGCCGCGGCGCGGACATGTTTCTTGCCTGAGAGATGACCCTTATAGACGTTTTCATTCTTGAATTCTTTTTCGCAGGCATCGCACCATATAGCATCGGCCGAGGAAGTTTGCTTGGTAGCGCCGCCAGATTTTGCGGCGGGTTCTTCGGTCTTCCAGTCGGCGATATCGTCCTTCTCCCACGCCTCTTCGAACTCCTTGTCGAAGTCTGCTACCACTTTGTCGATATTCTGTAGCGGCCTCGTCTTTCGCATGAAAGTCTCCAGATCCTGAGCAAGTTGACCAACATACTTGAAGTATTGGTCAGTCAGCTTCTCGGCCCTCTTCATACCACCAGCACCCGGCGCAAAGTTATCAAATGAGTCGAGATACTGAAGATAGCTGAGTCGCTTCGTGTTGGGGAGATTAAGGTAGGATTCGTGGCAGATGTGGAGATCGAAGAAGCGGCCGAATGCTTCCTCGCCGGTGAACATGGTGTCGACGATGCTGGGCATGGATTCGGCATCGAGTCCTTTCTTGGGTCGATAGGCGCGCTCGAGGTTTTCCACAGGCTCGTTAGGGTATTTGGCATGGAATCCCTTGATGTCGGTAAGTTGCTTATAGAACTCCTCCATTGGGTCACCGGTGCCGATCTGCTGAATCTCGTGCGATCTCGTTCCGTCGGCATCGCGATATATGGTCAGAAGTTTATTAGACTGAGACGATATGCGATCAAGGAATTGTGCTATCTGGTGGTCTCGCGCCAAGCGATCTCGTATCTGAAGTCTAGAGTTAGCAACTTGGTTTTCATATAATTAACAAGTCTAGGGAACTCACGTGTTTAGGTTCTTCGCCGATTCGGTCGGCGATGCCCTGCTCGAGACGCTCGAGGTCCTCGTGCAGGAATCTTTGCTCTTCTAAGAGCATTTTGAAAGGATGAGCTTAGAATACACTATTTACGCGATCGTGATATGTGAAGATGATGGTGTGAGTAAAGAGTCAGGATTGAAATGTGCAATGTAAAAAAACATTGAAAGAGGAATAAGATGAGTGAATGAGAAATATGATGAGGCTGAACAGAAACTTGCAAGAGCCTCGACCTTATTTCCCTCTCGTCCAATCAAAGACGCGTCTTGATTTTAACTTTACTGGCCACAGTGGCGATTTCCCGGGCAGTCGAAAAAAAAATTAGGTGGAGCAGCTAGCTATTAGCCACAGCTAGGTGCCCACTGAATTAGGTAGGTATATCCATAAAAATTATTGAGCTTACAGGTGCTGATTCCATTCTTTTCGTCACTGCAAGTGGATTTTTGGATTTTATCAATTCAACTTTCGCAATTCCTCGCATTCGTCAAAACAACAACAACAACATACGTAACTAAACATCCAACTCCAGCACAGTTACCATAGAAAATACGATAGGAAATATCTCATCATGGCGGAAGGCGGCGGTATCGATCGTCGCGCCGAGGAGAAGATGGAATTTTCCACTTCCAAGGAGGTCACGGTGCATCCGACTTTCGAGTCTATGAACTTGAAGGGTAGGGCTATATTATATCTTATTATATCTTATTTCATTGTCGCGACAGGCGCTAACCATTGCATTGTCTCACAGAGAACCTTCTTCGAGGCATCTACGCCTATGGTTACGAGTCTCCCTCCGCCGTTCAGTCCCGAGCCATTGTCCAGATCTGCAAGGGACGCGACACCATCGCGCAAGCTCAGTCGGGTACCGGAAAGACCGCCACCTTTTCCATCTCCATGCTCCAGGTTATCGACACCGCAATTCGCGAGACCCAGGCTCTTGTTCTATCCCCGACCCGCGAACTCGCGACCCAAATTCAGTCTGTTGTCATGGCCCTCGGTGACTACATGAATGTCCAATGCCACGCCTGCATTGGTGGCACCAACGTTGGTGAGGATATTCGAAAGCTCGACTATGGCCAACATATTGTATCTGGTACTCCCGGTCGTGTAGCCGACATGATTCGACGCCGCCACCTACGAACTCGTCAGATCAAGATGCTCATCCTCGACGAGGCCGATGAGTTACTCAACCAAGGTTTCCGAGAGCAGATCTACGATGTCTATCGCTATCTGCCCCCGGCAACCCAGGTCGTCGTCGTCTCGGCTACCTTGCCCTACGATGTCTTGGATATGACAACCAAGTTCATGACGGACCCTGTTCGTATTCTTGTCAAGCGTGACGAGTTGACCCTCGAAGGTCTGAAGCAGTACTTCATTGCGGTCGAAAAGGAGGATTGGAAATTCGATACTCTTTGCGATCTCTACGACACCCTCACCATCACTCAGGCTGTCATCTTCTGCAACACCAGGCGCAAGGTGGATTGGTTGACCGACAAGATGCGCGAGGCCAACTTCACTGTCAGCAGTATGCACGGAGACATGCCGCAGAAGGAGCGTGACAGCATTATGCAAGACTTCAGACAGGGTAACAGCAGAGTCCTTATATCCACCGACGTTTGGGCCCGTGGCATCGACGTCCAGCAGGTTAGCTTGGTCATCAACTACGATCTGCCTAGCAACCGAGAGAATTACATCCACCGCATCGGCCGAAGCGGTCGATTTGGTCGCAAGGGTGTCGCCATCAACTTCGTCACCAGCGAGGATGTTCGAATCCTTCGAGATATCGAACGTGAGTAACTAGCTACTTTTTTTTGATATTCTTGGATGCTAACAGACGCATAGTCTACTACTCTACTCAGATCGACGAGATGCCAATGAACGTGGCAGATCTTATAACATAAGCGGCGGCTAATCAAGTCTTGAGCATGACGCTTCCCGCTTGGAACTGATGAATTCGTGTGGCAGATCACGTTGCGCGAGAGTTAAAGGGAGGTTTAATTGGCCGTGGGAGGAAATGGGCATGTCTTTTAGTAGTGAGTCCATTAGGTCCAACTTCATCCCTTGTTATTGAAGCTAACTCACCTGCATAGCGCCGTTTCTCAGAATGAAATCAAGATCCTTCGCCAATACCGGCCGACGTTGTGTCAATAACGTCAAGCAGTCCACAAGTTTGACAGATAAGTACTTGATGGAACCTGCATGTGTTTTAGTTTACTTCACAATTCAAGTTACGAAGAATGTTCAAGTTCCCTCTACTCCCAAGCACAACGTAGCCCCTACTATTAACTCCATTGGCCCAATGCCATCTTATGATATTGTTCAAATATTGCTGCTAGTTGACAATAGGTTACATTGGCAGAAGAGCTGAGTCGAGATAAGGCGGCTCTGGTTGCCGAATTAGTACAACTAGTATGACATAAGTATGCCTCCTAAGTTCATTCCATTCAACTCATCTTTTAAATCGGAACCCATCAAGGGGTATCACGCGTCACTCCTGTAAACTGCGCATAACCCTGAAACACCTTGGCATCTGGATGCTGTGCATCATTGAATCGCATTACCTTTGGCTTGTGGTAAAGATAGCCACGGCAAGGCAAACCGATAGGGTTACCAAGATGAAAAACCTAAGAGTTCGAATCAGCTATTAAGCAGTCTCTGGGTCCCTAAGAATGATTATGTCGTAGTATGAATAAAACGCCTAATCTGAACCACCACAAAAGATCCATCCAAAGATTACAAGTTATGCTACAGAATCTGTCCAAATCCAAACTCCCATGTTTGCCTAACCACCTGACAGACTTGTGTCATATAGACTCCAGTGCTCAGACTTCCACGAACCAAAAATGCGGCCAAGGGCGTATGGCCTGGTGTCGGTGGTAGCACATTCTATCGTTACGCATCTTTTGAGCATACAATCTCGGATAAGATATCGTAATTGGAAAGGTCGTGGGTTCAAATCCCACCCAGGCCAGAATTTTTCTTTTCCCCCAAGTTCCAACATATCGGAGATAATCCCACGGCTGTATGTGCCTACCTCCTACCTCCTACCTAACCTAAAAATACACACGAGGGATACGTAAGGAAATAAATTAAGGTGTGATAACTAGAGAATAATGAAGTTAGGTTTGCTCCAACCGAATCTCCATCACGGCCAGGGCACTTCCAAAGGGCTGAGTGACGTTGACGAGTTTGAGCTTGGGGTCCGCCATCCGGAACAGCTCTTTCCAGTCGTCCAGGTCCCGCTCGACGCTGTTGAAGAGCGCCATCATTGCGATATCTAACGTTCTACAGGATGAAAATTAGTCTATGAACAAGAGAAAGGGGTTGATGTGTACTTTGCTTACCTCGTCTTCCGTTCCTCGAGCGTGCTAAGCGTGCCGCTATGTATCGCGATATTGTCCATAACCACGATCCTCGCCCCGGGTCTCTTTCTCACAGCGCTGAGCTGCGCCTTTAAGATCTTCACGGCGTCCTGATCGGAATGGTGGTGCAAGATGCGCCGCAGCAAGTACACATCCCCGACCACCGTCTGCGGCATGAAGAAATCGTACGTCATGAACCGCAGCCTCCCCTTCTCTTGTAGTTCGGTGCCCCCATCTACCTCAGCTACTTCCTTGGAAAGGGAGGAATTCGAGTCCTGCACGACGAACTGCAGGTGCGGATTCACAGAGGCAATCGCTTTGGAACAGTGCCCGTTCCCGCCGCCCACGTCGACGATGGTAGAATCGAGCGGTAGCGAGCCCCAAGCAAACCCGGAAACTAGGTGCTCCACCCGCAACTGCCGCCGCTTCGCCATGCCCGCCATCGCGCGCGCGTACCGATCCGCCTTCATCGCCGTCTCCGTGGTCTGCCGCTGCTGCGTGATGAAGCCGAAGGCCGGCTGGTCGAGGCCATCGACAGCGAGATCCATCGCCGCCGACGTTCCCCTGCCGCTCAGCACCACGGGTCCAGCGCCCGCGACGGACCAGCGGCGGCTCATGCCGCGGGCCTCGGTGAAGAAGGCGCTGGAGCGCAGCGACTCCTGGCTCAGCCACTCGACGGCGGCGCCCGTGTCCTCGTCGAGCAGCACGCGCGAGTTGCGGTTGTGCGCGACGATGCGCGTGCCCGGCTCCCGGAAGATGTGGTACGTCATGAGCAGCTGCAGCACGCGCGTGCACTGCGACGTGTCGACGCCGGCCGCGCGCGCCAGCTCCTCGTACGGGATCGGCGTGCCGTCCGCCGGCAGGAACGTCGCCAGCCGGAAGTGGCACACGTACTGCAGCGCCGCGTGCACGCGGTGGCCTTGCGCGATGCCCATTACATCTTTGTGTGTGTTAATCATATTTTCGCACTATTTTTTATATACCGCCTCTCCTGCGTGATATATATATATGTACATTCCTACCTAGGGAAAGGGGGGCAAGAGAGGGGAATGAGACATTGTACGTACTATGAATACGTCAGCGAAGCAACTCTACGAACGCCAGAAACATAGCATCGCGAATACTTGAAAGAGCTATAGATAGAATATGCAATTATGCCTCTATACTGACCATTCAATAGGACCAGTCACAAGGTGGTTCAATTTATCGCACGCCTCGAGTAGTTTCGACCTTGCGATGCTGAGGCTTTTATCGCCGTGGTAGTCCGTGTAAGCCTCACGCGGCAGGCTAGTCTCGAGGATCTCCGCCTGCGCCCTGATGATGTCTGCGAGCGCAGTCACCGTCATCTGGTCGCCCATCGGGACGGATATTCGCCGAGGGCTAGGTACAAGACGTGGCTAGTTTTCTAGAAGTTTGCTCGGTTTGCGAGCGTTGAGGTCAGAGTACGGGGCCCCGGACTTTTGGGTGGCAGATGGATACCTATATCCAAAGGTACCTAGGGCGCCATTATATGCATTATATGTACAGTCCGCACCGCTAAAGGCCGCACGTGGTGTCCTACCATTCCTATGCGTGTCGCACAGGGTCGTTATCTGACACCTGGTTCACCCAGGCCCTCGGAGCGCGGAGTTATTGGTCTGGGGGCCGTCTCATTGGTGGCTTAGGAATACGGGGTTCCCACGGGGGTGGGAGCGCGCTCCTTCTGCCGAGCTGATCTTTATCTTACCTTTATTAACGCGTTAATATGGGTGGGGGAGACGGTCATAGTAATGATTTTATAAATATATAATTATTTTTTAATAAGAGAAGTATTTAAGCGTTTTTTATAAGGATAGTATTATTTTAATAATTATTATAATATAATATAATTTAATTTTTTTAATAATTTTATTAAATAATAAAAATATTTTAATATTTTAATTATTTTATA